TAATTAAAAGGAACAAAAAAAATTCCCAAGACTTGCAAGTGCTGGAAGGCATTGCTGCCACCAAAACAAACAGGCAGGCTTTAAAGCTAAGCTAAGGTTGCAAGGGAGCTGTTGGCAAACAGACTCGGAAAAATAAATAAATAAAAAGCTGCCACCTCCTTTTCCTCAATGGTGCTGCAACATTTCTCAGGTCTCTGGGCTTTTCTCTGGATCTCGTGGCCCTACAAGAAGTGACAGCCCAATCTACTCCAGGAGAGGTTTCCTGGCTCCTTAAAGAAAAAAAAAAAAAAAAAGGGAATAAGGGGGGTTAGGAGATCGTCCTCTGGAGTTGATCCCATTATGACAGGGCTCATTACATCAAATTTGGGCGCTCACTCTACCATATGGAGCAGGGGGGACCCTGTCTGGGCCCACTGCTGGGGAGCGTCTCCAGCACTGTTTGTGTGTCTTGACCCCGGGCAATCCTGCCATTCTTGCCTCGTTAATCCAGGGATTTGTGGAATGCCACTGACCCCACAGAAAGTCTCTCCCGAGCTGCCAGGGCTGGGAGTGACACGGAATTGTCAGCAGTGATATCTGGGGGGGGGTTGGTCGTGGAGCAGTTTTCAACATTCAGGTCAGAGTCAGCCCCCAGGATTTCAGAGGGTGGGGCTGATTGGAATTAAATTAATCGCAAAGTTACCAATTCACGTGGACTGTTGGTACTTTTAGTTTTGTTTGGGAATAGCAGGAGCAAAGGAGTTCTAGGGTGGTTCTAGGAGACCTCCTGGTGCTGGAATGGCCATAAAAATTCTAGAGGAGCGTGGCACAGAAAGGAAAACAGCTCTTAGAGACAGGAAAGAGAGAGACACTAAAACCTGGGATGGTGGTGAAAGAAGTGAGATAGAATCATTGAGCCATGACAGCCATGTTTTCCCCATCCTGTCATTATGGGATTGGAGTGGAAAACTCATTATTCTTTTGATGACCCCCTTTTTTTTTTTTTTTTTTTTGCTAATTAACAAAATAATTAAGGTTCTCCCAACCCTAAAGGATAATTTTCCTGTTTGTTTGCAGGCAGGTGTATGGCCTCGTCCTTCTCCATCCTTGGCTACTCCAAGGCAGGATTGATCCTCCAAAAAAAGATGGATCTTCTCTAACAGCTGGAGAGGAGCAGAGCCTGGGTGTCCTTATTCTGCAGTCCCTTCCTGCCTGTGCAGTTGCAAGGGCTGCAGAATAAACACACTGGGAAATATTTGCTCTGTGTCCTATAAACAGGGCGCACGTTGTTTACCTGCAGCAAACATCCACCCATCAATTGTGTGATAAAACAGTCAAGGAAAGGCATAATTTTTAACCTTCTGAAGTTTCGTAGATAATTATTCCTGATCGACTGGTTTGACAAGAAACGTCTTTCACGGTGAAAGGGGCTGGGGTGGTTTCTGTAAACGCTTTACAGTTATTTTCTGGTTCGGGTTTCCTGCTTCACCTGCCCCATAATGATGAATTGGGGAAGTTTCCTGAAAGAATCAACCCCCAAGTTCTGCAGAAAACTTGTCTGGCAAAGCTGAGAGGTGTCATGCAAGGCAAGGAAACGGACTGGTAGAATTGTGGCTCTATGGGAGAGATGGGGACAGGAGGAAAAAAAAAATTGTGAGTGGGGAAGAAAAGCCAAGGAGGAGTCTGGGGACACCTCCAGTGTGGCTTTAGGTGCTGCCTGGAGAAAGGGTTTGGATTTGGAATCAAAGAATTCTCATTGTTTAAGGCCCTGCTTTGTCCGAGCGACTGGAGCTTTTTACTTCCCTTTGCAGATAACCAGAATTTAATTTAAAAAAAAAAAAAAAACAAACCAAGATGGCCCCTCAGTGGAGCAAACAGCAAGACCTGCTTTTTCATCTGGCCCAGGAGGGACTTGTATCAGCGAGTTATTGTTCAGTTGAGGTCACCAGGGCCCCTGGTTTGGGCTGTGTCCCACCCAGAGCCCCCCAGGGTCCCGTGGGCAGAGCTCGGGGCTGACGCTGCCCTGGGAAATCGAGTGGATGGCTCATGGGGTGCATCATTTGCAAGTGGCTGAGCAAATGTGTTGCAGGGAAAGGCTGGGAGACTGAATGGGAGCTGACAGTTTCCTTGGCACCCGAACCAGAAAGAAATCCATGGCTTTGTTTCTTGCTTAGCAGAACTAAAGGGCGAGCAAGGCACGGGGTGGTTTTAAGCTGCTGGTACCAAACGTGCAGGGTGGGAAAGAGTTCAGTCCACAGGCAGCTTTCTCTTAGCAGATTTGAATCAAAATAGGCTGTTTTCACAAGGAAGAGCCTCAAATCTTATGCCCTGAGCTGGAAATCCGTAAACTGACACTGGAGTTGTCTGCTCTGCCCCGTGGCAAAGTGATTCTGGGCTGCAGTGAAATCAAATTTACCCCCTTGGGGTAAGAGTGGGAGGCAGTGGGTGGGATGTGAGCAGTTATCTGATGCTCTGGTGAGGAAAAGACCTTTCAGAGGAGGGTGGGACCCGTCCCAAACTGGCATCTGCCAGGCACTGGCCAGGAAATTCTTCCCTGCCTTGTTTGTAGGACTGAGGTGGGCGAGGAGTGATGTGCTGGGGAGGAGAGGCAGGCTGGTATCAAAGCTGCACTGCAGGTCGTAGAACAAGGTGGTGCAAACAGAATAAGGTGGTGCAAAGTGCCCTTTCTCTTCCCAGTGGCCTTCCTGAGTGGTGCTGGGCTGTCCCTGGGGTTGCAGAGGGTTAAAGAACCCTCTGGGGCCAAGCGTGGGTAGCTGTGCAACTGCTCAGGATTAAAGTTCAGAGAGCTGCAGCCTGCACTCTGCAGCCCGTGGCTGCTCTCACAGGGCACCCAAGCAGAGCTGGGCTTCCTTTCCACCCGTGGGAAGTGTGGCTTTACCTGCAGCCTGGAGGGGACAGCCCAGAAAGCGGCAGGGCAGGGGCAGAGGCGTCAGCAGAGCTCTTGCTCTGCTCCTCTGCTCCTCTCCAGCTTCCCCTCGGGGGAGCTGTTTGGATTTCAGGTGTCCCATTTCTCCTCCTTCATCCACAGCAAAGGACATCCCTTTCCCTGCTGGGGGTTCCCCCCGTGGCCTCCTGGCAGGATGAGGGGGCCAGCACAGCTTTTCTGGGCTGGGGGCAGCGCTCAGAGCTGCGGGGACATGGCCTGGCTGGAGGGGGCAGGGGCTAAGAATGCGGGGCAGGGACCAGCTGAAGTGTTTGTGCTGCTCTCTGTAAATAGAGCAGATGTGCCCAGGTCTCAGCTTTTCCCCTCTGTGCCGCCTGCAGGGGCTGGTGCTGAGCAGCAAACAGTGGGAGCCAGGCCAGTATCAATAAGGGGTTTGGATGGGTTTGTTTGTTTGGCTGCAAAGGCCTTGGGATCCTGGGAGAGGTACAGGGTGACCCCACCTGCCCAGCACACAACCAGATCTATCCCTGACCAGCTCCTGGGTGAGACAGGCTTTGCAGAGGCTCCAAACCGTGAGGTTGTCGCAGTCTTGAGACTCACAATTAAAAGCAAATAAGTAAGTAGCTTCCTGGTTTGGGCAATTTACGGCTGGTGATGTTTCCAAGCTTTTTTTTTTTTTTTTTTCCCCTTCTTTTTTTTTTTCCTTTACAACCAAAACACGAGGAAATGGATGTTTTCGAAAAGAAAAATAATTTAAAAAAAAAAACCAAACCACACCACTTGCCTGAATCCGTGACTGCAACTGCTCCAAAACTAAATATTGTGAAACTCAGGGGAGATAAAAATTCTGCAAAGCTGATAGAGTGCTGATCCAGTGTCCTCCCTGCAGCCTCTCCCAGGGAAAAGCAGCTGCCTGCACCGTTAGCTGGGGGTGAGGACACTGAGGAAGGACAGAGAGGAGCTCTGGGATGTTGCATCATCCTGTGCCAAGAAATTCCTACTGCCACAGAAAAGGCAATTCCTGCCATTCCCCTGCCCCAGATTCCCCCTCCTCAGTGGTGCTGACTGTGGCAGTTTTTGCCTGGGCAAGGGCTGACTTTGCAGCTCCTTTTCCCATCCCTTGATTTCCCCCCCCCGTGACGTGTTGGAGGCTCCCTGGAGCACCAGGCCCTGCTGCTCTGGGCACCCACCACCTCCCAGGCCTCGTGAGGGAGTCAAAATGCCCTTTTCTGGCACCCCCCGCTCTGAAAGTCGTAGCCTGGTGGCTTCTCCTGAAGTGCTGGAGACAAAAATACATTTCCTGTTTAGAGAGAGAGCGAAGATCAGCCCTGAAGTGCGGCCGCCCGCTCTGGTACCTCAAGTATAAACAGCCTGCGCTGCCTGTGCTTGTTCCAGTGGCTTTTTCTCTCTAAAGGTCCATTAAACACAATTACACAAAGTCCATCTCCTGGCAGCATCGCTCCTGACAGGCACAAGAGTTTCAGAACTGCCAGCCTGTCAGGGAAGATCCCTCTGAAAGCCCCAGCGTGAATTCCCGCCTCTGTTCTCGAGGCAGCAGCACCAAAAGCCACCAAAGTGTGTTTCTGCTTTGCATTTCTCTAACACTTTTCCACCTGGGTGTCTGAATTCTCTGTAAATATCACTCAGCCTCCCTGGGTGGGGTGCTGAGGTTGGGTTTGTGCTCTCAGCTCGCAGAAAGGTTTGGGTTGTGAGTCAGCAGCCGCTCTGCAATCAAGGTCAGGACTTGCGTTTTCTGCAATTAAAGAACAAAATGGGCTTAAAGCCACCCTTAAGCCAACCTGGGGCTCCCAGAATCAGCCAGAGCACCCGTGAAAGTCATCTCTGGAGGGGATCAGGGTCGTGCATTCTCTCTGTGGGGCTGCAGCAGAGGAATGTGAGCTGCCACAGCTCATCCTGTGCCCAGGTAAAGCTGAGAGCTCTCCTGCTCCTTGTGTTTCTCTGCCACATGTGGTGCTTCCTAACCCCTGTCAATATTCTGGTTGATACCATGAGCTCTGCCTGGCTGGGCATGTGAGATTTAGATAAGACCAGGGCAAATCTGTGCCATGATCTAATCAGGCACGAGCAGCTGGGATGGCAGTTGACTCTCTACTTCCCCTGTTTGATAAATAATTGTGGTTTGCAGATTCCCATGATGGCCCAATCCTGAGTTATTCTGAGGCTTCTGGTCCTGCTTCAGAATAAGTTGTTAGGCCCATTTATAAGCCCAGGGCTGGATTTAGTGAAACCAGAGTATAACCAAGGTCAGGCTGTTATTGTTGTGTTTAGGTACCCATGGTCTAAATTTTCAGAGTTGCTGATCCCACTGAGCTCTTGCCAAAGTGCTCCTGGGAGCTCGGTGTGGGATCTCCAGTGGCTGGAAATGCCAAGTTCTCAGTGCTCTGGGCTGGGGGACAGGGTGGGGATGGGGCACAGGTTGGACTCGATGGTCTTGGGGGTCTCTTCCAATCTCAATGATTTTGTGATTCTGAGCAAACCCTCTCCAGCTCCAAGAGGTTTTGGTCTTCTGTACCAGCATGAAACACTAAATATTCATTTATCTCGTGACTTTTGAGAGAAACAAAGCTTTCTGTGCCCTGGCCCAGCCCCTGTTGTTGGTGCAGACACGGGTAGAGTTCTGGCTCTGGGAGGTCCCCAGTGCCAGGGTCCCAGTGGGACCAGCAGAGCCTCCTCTCAGGGACCTCCAGGAGTGTCCAGCACCACAGCCTGCAATTTCTGCTTCAAAACTGTCTGCCTGGGCCTGAACCAAGATCACACAGTGAGTCAGAGCCGGGAATAGAAGAGAGGAAACTGCAGTTCATGCTGCTCGTCTGACCACTGAGCCCAGCAGTGCCCAGCTCCTCCTGCTCCATGTGGGAATCCACCTAGGGACAGTCATCTGCTCCAGTGCGAGAGAGGGAGGAAAAGAGAGAGAGAAAAAAATCCAACAACGAGCACTAATAGCTATGAAATTGCTTGTGAACTCCTCTGACTAGAAAACAGGGGCAGTTCTCCCCACCCAGATTTGGATTCTGGCACTTCCCCAGCTGAAGTCATAGCCCAGCTCTCTCCAGTGCTTTTTGTTGGGTTTGGATTTTTTTGTTACTGAGTTCCTGCATCTGGAGTGCCAAAAAAGCTCCTTTTTTTTTTTTTTTCCCTTTTTTTCAGGAAACAGCAGTGTCATTTCTCCTTGTCAGCCACCCCAGTGAGGGAGTTCTCATCAGCTCAAGTGGCAACAAATGCAGGTGCTCCTCTGCTTTTTCTGTGGAGGGTGAGTCCTTCCAGCCAAACTTTGGGAGGGAGCAGCTGCTCCCAGTAAAAACACCGCTATCCTGCTGACCCAAGCTGAAATGTGACGTGGAAATGGGATTTTTGACCTTGAGAGGTAACAAAGCTGCTCAAAGGAGGGACCCTGTGAAGATTAAAAATAACTAATCTTTTGTAATGCTTCTGTAACTCATAGAGCTGGATGAATTCACTGCAAAACCAAGGGCCAAATCTTTAAATAGTACAAACCAGCCCAAGCCTTTTGGTGACTTTTGAAGTCTCCAGCTGAAGAACTGGCCCAAGCATTTGCAAGCATTCATTTAGGAACAGCTGGTTTTGTCAACTGCATTCTTGCCTCATTTTTCCTATCCTTTGCTCATTTTGTTCACACACATTAAAAAAAAAAAAAAAAAAAAAAAGATACTTGTTGCTGCAGATGTTTAGGAAAGGCTGTTCTGTCTGAGGGTTCTCATCTCGAGGGCTGGCTGGATGAATAGAACATTGATTTTCCCTCAGCTCAGGGTCCTGTTCAGCTACTGTTAGACAAGTTAGATGCTGATATGACGTCGAGATCTCTCTGTGTAAGTGTGTGTATAGAAATGTATATATTTTGTGTCTCTCCTCGCAGCCGTGTGAGTTAAGCAGCCACCCCCCATGAATAATGTCCAGGGCCAGGTCAAAAGCTTCCCAGAGCAAGGGACCCGTTTGCACACAACCCAAGCGATGACGAGGAACGAACAGTACTTAATAAACCCAAACAAAACCGAAAAAAAAAAAAACACACTCCTGCTGCGGGCGACGATGCTCGAGAGGGAGGGATGGAGGGAGGGGGGAAAAAAGAGAAAAGGTTAAGAAAAAAAAAAAATCTGTTTGTCTGTTTGTTTGTTTTAAAAAGTGAAACCACTTTTTGCTCGGGTTGAAGGGCCGGGCAGGACAGAGCGGGCGATGGGGGCGATGGCAGCGGCGTGCGGGGCTGCGGGGAGCGAGAGGGGGTTTGGAGGTGTGAGGGGCTGTTCTGCCGGCCAGGGGTGCGGGCAGGGGGGATGCTCTGTGTTCTGCCGGCCAGGGGTGCGGGCAGGGGGGATGCTCTGTGTTCTCCTGGCCAGGGGTGCGGGCAGGGGGGATGCTCTGTGTTCTCCTGGCCAGGGATGCGGGCAGGGGGGATGCTCTGTGTTCTCCCGGCCAGGGGTACGGGCAGGGGGGATGCTCTGTGTTCTCCCGGCCAGGGGTGCGGGCAGGGGGGATGCTCTGTGTTCTCCCGGCCAGGGGTACGGGCAGCGGGGATGCTCTGCCGGGCTCGAGTTCGGCCGCGGGGGCTGCGGGGACCGGGGGATGCTCTCCCCGCAACGGGAAACAGCGTGCGGGGAACGGGGCTGCTCTCCCGGGGAAAGGCTCCGGGGGACGGGGATGCTTTTCCGGAGGACACTGCGGGGATCGGGGCTGCTCTCCCGGGGAAAGGCTCCGGGGGACGGGGATGCTTTCCCGGAGGACACTGCGGGGATCGGGGCTGTTCTCCCGGGGAAAGGCTCCGGGGGACGGGGATGCTCTACCGGAGCGGGGATGCTCGGGCTGCGGGGCTTTGGGAGCGGGGCTGCGGTGCCGTTGCGGGGGCGGCCGAGCCCCCCCTTGGCCCCGCTCGGCCCGGGCAGCGCATGCTCCCTGCCGGGCCCAACCTGCCCATTTAAACCGCGGCGGAGGCGCGGGCTGAGCCGGGTTTGGCTCCGCTCAGCGCAGAGGTAGGAGCGGGGCTAACACCGGGATGGGGCGGGGATGGTCGCGCCGGGCAGAGGGAGAGGCTCCTGGGGGAGCTGCCGGAGATTTAGGGGGTCCCCGCGTGGCTCTGGGGGGGTCTCGGGTGGCTGCCGGGGCTCTCGGAGGGCTCCGGGGGTGCGAGCGCTGCTCGGACCCCGCGTGGGTCCCGCTGATGCTCCCGCGGTCCCGCTGCGGATCCGCGGAGGGCGAGGGGGGGAAACAAAAAGCCCTGACGGGTGGGAGGCAGAGCAGAAGCGGCCGCAGGTAGGGCTGTGGGTGGGTGGGCGGGCGGTCCCGTGCCCCCCTAGCCCGCTTGCAGCGTCGTGTGCCGCGAGGTTTTTTTTTGGTTTGTTTTTTCCACGCTTCTCGTTCTGGCAGAGACATCCGCTGCGAGCGGGGCGGGCTTGGAGGATCGCTGGAGCGGGCGGAGGAGCCTGGGGAAGCGGGATGTGACCGTGGGCTTCCAGAAATTCCTGGAGACTCGCAGGGACAGGTCAGTGAATCCTCAGAATGCAAGGAAGGCAGCACGGGGGCAAAGGGAAGTTTTCTTTACACGTGGTTGGAGGTTCTGTTTGGGTTTGCTGCCAGGTTACCCGTCTCTCCCGGTCGGCTCTAGTGGGAGCTTGAGCCGGCTGATGCTTCAGCAGCGGTACCTCAGTGTCATAATGTGGACATTCCAGAGATTACTGACTTCGGTGTGATATTCCAGGGTTTACTGACTTTGGCATGACTCGAGATTTTGGTGGTGAAATTCCTTAGCTGTTTGTGATAAACATTAGCTAACAGGCTAATTTGTCTTCCTGTGGATGGCAGCTTTAGGGGGAAGAGAAAGGCATTAGAATAAACTTAATATTTACGCTGGTGATGGCCAAACTTGGCGAGGTTGCTTGGATTAAAACAGAAAACAATAAACATCAGAAGGGAAATGTATCAGGAACAGCTTTGCTGGTCCTCCCCTAGACCTGTCAGAGCTCCTGAGCAGCGCAGGGAAAGGGGCCAGGCTCCAACCGTGTCCCACCCTGGCACTGCTCTGGTTCTAGCAGTGGTTCAAGCGAGCGGTGTTTGTACGTGCAACATGAGAATAACTCAAAATTTATAGAAATAGAACATGAGTAAGAACTTCAAAAGTACCCAAATGACCTGGGCACTGCAGTCATGCAGGCACTCCTGAAAAACGTGTACCAGCCTTTAAACCTTTTCTATTATTTGCCCCACCTGCAATTATTATTTTTTTTTTTCATTTTTAAATGTGTGATGCTACCTGGATTTTCTGGCATCATGCATCTACCACCCTTCTGCTCGTGGGGAGTGGCAGAGCCAGGAAAGCCAGACTGCCAGCCCTGTGCTGGGATTCCAGGCGGTGCCTAAAACTCTGGAACTTATTACCACAGAGCCATCGTGGAAGCCAAGAGCTCTTGGCTTATGGGATTTGGATGGGGGGGGGGGGGGGAATGAATTAAAAAAAAAAGGATTAGAAATTTGATATGGATAATGAGAATCTGCAGAATTAATAGCAAATTAAATGAGAGCTTTACGAGGGATATAAATCCCTTTCTTTCAGGGCATAAACCGATCTTGAGATTTAGGAGGAAACTTCTCCTTGTAGGGAGGTTTTGCTCGCACTGGCTGCTGGTGGGATATTCCCCTACAGCCTGTTACTGCCTGTGCAGGGATATCTGAGTGCTGTGTCTTCTTAGAGAGGCTCCAGTTAAAGTGCCTGACTCTCCGAGTGTTTCCCAACATCAGATTGTTGGGAAAGGCCCAAGGCACCTGGTTTTGTGCAGAACCTGCCTGAGGATAAGAGTAACGTCACCTGTGAACAAAGCAGTGGTTTCACAGGCTGTCATCTCTGTGCTAAGGTGGCCGTAGATGCCTCAACATCCTCCAGACAAACCCCAGCAGCATTTCCAGGGTGTACAGTCAGATTCTGCCAGCGCTGCATGGATGTATCCATGTTATCTCCGGGGTGGGAGAAGCTGAAATCACTGGACTGATCACTGAGCTAAAAAAATCCAGCCCTTGGTCTCTTTATCTCTGCCAAAGTCCCTCGGAAATGATGTTTAGCATAAACTCTTGGTAACCTTTTCCCCAAACTGTTTATCTCGCTGGAGCACTCAAGTGGCAGGGTTGGGGTGGGGGGAAGGGAGTGGTTTTGGTCTTTTATTCCCTGAGTTTTGTATCTCTGCTCTTCAGCTCCATATGGAGCTTAGGGTGATGGCTGGACTCTTGTGGCTGATGGCATTAGGACTGCATGCTCTTGAAAGTAAAAAGGAATAGCCTTAACTGCCCAGTTTTGGGCTAAAGCTGCACGTAGAAGCTTTGGTTAAAGTTTGAACCAACAAAGCTGGTCCTGAAAGCGTCGAATCCATTGTATGATGAAGTGATGGGGCAAAACCTGCTCTTTGAACACAGCTCTGTGGGCCAGCTCATGTGTCTTCTGGTAAAGCCTCTTTGGAAATACCTGTGAGCAGAGTTCCTGCATCACTGAAAATCTCAACCCAGGGCCCCTTGTGTTGGATCCACGAGAAGCTCTGAAGGCTTTTGCAAATGACTCCTGAGGAATGCAGGGAAGCAAAGGAAGACAGAGGTTGATGATCTGTAAAAGCAGTGTTTATTTGTGATATTTGTAATCCACTTTGGGCTTCCACGATTCTACATGGACAAAAAAAAAAAAAACAAAAAAAAAGGCCTGGGAAGTTTTGCCTGTGGTGCTTCCCTGACTCCTCCCTTTGCAAGGAGTTCTGTGGATGGGGATGTGGCAGAGAACTTCAGGGTTTGTGTGGACACTTCTGGCACTTGGTTTCATTTGAGCTGCCTGTGAGTCTGTCAGGGCTGGTCCCAGGCTGGAGCAGTGCTCAGAGCCTGCTTTTAAAGAACAAGAAAAAAACACAGAACAGACCTTCCAAAATAATCTGCTGATGGTCTCCCTCTCTATCTTTTTTTTTTTTTTTTCCCCCTTGGCTTTTCCTCCTCTGGCTTTACTCTCTTCACAATTTTACCCCACTTTTGTCAGGGTGGGATCATAGGGCCTTCCAGACAAGCTCTAAGTGGTGTGAGTAACATGTTTGTGTTTATCTTCCACCTTTCTCTACCTTGGAGCAGTTCACCCAAGGAGTGTCTTGTTGTGCTGATTGTTTTAGGTTTTCTTTAATGTGCATGTTGCTGCCTCCTTGTCTTGGCTGGGGCAACATCAAAGCAAAGCTCTTGACCGTTGGGTGAAAGTTGGGGAGGTTTGGGATGGACTCAAGGCTGGGAGGGAGCAGAGGAGAAAGGAGCTGCAGGCAGTGGTCAGGATGAGCAGGAGATGAAAGTGGTCAAGCCTTGTGCCTTGAGCAGTGAGAGACAGATGGGATGGAGACACAGATGCCCAGAGGAGTCCTGTCTGGTGAATCTCTGCTATTGTAAGTAATTCCATCAGATGATGGTGTGCTGTGGCTCCTGCAGGAAGTGAGGGCAGTCAGCCTAGGACAGCTATTCCTAACTAAACCCAACCTAGACAGCCAACCTGGGAAGTCTTGTGATCCCTCAGCTGTGCAGCTGAACCCGTGATGGAGGCTGAGAGTGGAGCAAGAGGGTCATGAGAGGCTTGTGAGCAGCCTGTCAGCAATTCTCAGTGCTGACCTGAGTTCTGAATGCTTGGTGTCAGAGTCATCAAAACTATCCATGTGAGGACAGGAACCCTCAGGCTCGGCTGAGAAAGGGGTTGGAGACCCTCATCCTTGCTTTTAATAAGCAGGGGGGGAAATTTTAAGGCTTTCTCTGCAAGGTGGTCGAGCAATGTGTGAGCTCGTAGCAGACTGTTTGTAAACATGGACTGCACAACACAAAGGAAATCTTGCACTCACCACAAACAGAGCGATAGGAAAACAGTAAACTAAAGGATTATTCATACATGTCCCTGTCCCAGTGCTTGTGTTGTTCAGTTAGAGCTAAGATGGGTTTTTATCCCTTGAAACCTGTTCTCCTCCTCGTGCTGCTGTTGCCCCTCACTGCTGGAAGG